CCTTTGTGACGTAAGATAATGCTGCCACGCGTCGGAACTCCGCTGCCTGGAGGACCACAGGGCTCGAGTGACACGCGGGAGGGAACGCAGCGGTCATCCGGGGCCAACTCCAGGAATCATGCATTTGTTGCTCAGATTAATCGTTTTCTTTTACGTGTGGGGCATTTTTACTGCTCAGGGACAAAAGGAAGAGGAGCGCACAGAGGAAGTGAAAATAGAAGTTGTGCATCGTCCAGAAAACTGTTCTAAGACTAGCAAGAAGGGAGACCTGCTAAATGCCCATTATGACGGCTACCTGGCTAAAGATGGCACGAAATTCTACTGCAGGTAGGAAATGCCGCGGACCGCTGTCACATCCAGTTGATGCGCGGAATCTAGCCTCCCTCCAGCATGCAGGAGCTTAATTGGTTGGTTGGTTGGTTCTTGTTTTTTAACAGTAAGAGTTGAGGCTTTCATTCCTAAGGGGGAAATCAGATTAGATGCAGTAGTTCTCTGTGAAGCTGAATATTACTTTCTAAGTGATTGAAAATGTTGGACCAAGAAATTATCAAAAAAGACACTATGGCCCTGCTGGTGTGACTCAGTAGTTAAGCCTCAACCCATGAACTAGGTACAGTGATGGCGAACCTTTTGAGCTCCGCGTGTCAGCATTTTGAAAAACCCAAACTTAACTCTGGTGCCGTGTCACATATAGAAATTTTTTGATACTTGCAACCATAGTAAAACAAAGACTTATATTTTTGATATTTATTTTATATATTTAAATGCCATCAACCAAAAAAATGAGTTCGTGTGTCATAGGTTTGCCATCACTGAACTAGGAGGTCAAGGTTCAATTCCCCTCGGGGCAAAAGCCTCTGTTGTGGGTTGCAGGTTTGATCCTCAGTAGGGGGCATGTAGGAGGCAGCTGATCAATGATTCTCTCTCATCATTGATATTTCTATCTCTCTCCCTCTCCCTTCCTCTCTCTGAATCAATTTTTTTAAAAAAAATACACGATGTCCACACACACAGCCAACCATTCCCACTACCCTTGGGACTCACAGAAGTAAGTCAGGGCACAGTGTGTAAGGATGTTCACACTTTTCCTTTGCCGGTTGGAGTGTCTTTACAGAGGGTTGGATTGGGTAGTTTAAGGGATTTTGTCTGGCCTTCAGAAGCTCCATATTTACAGACTAGGGGACACTTTCCAACTGTCAAGAAGACACACAGCAACTTTCCCTGATGACTTCTGGGCCCTGTGTCCTCCACCTGACCCCTCATCCCATGACTGCCTACTCTGATTTAATTAAAGGCTTACCACTCAGAGGGAGAATGTCTTTTCTTCATCTGTGCTATTACCTATAAAGATAGGACCTGGGAAAAGTTAGTTCTTTCTACTGAGAAGAAAATAGAGAAATTTAAGAAGAAAGGGTACAAATTTTAAATAACTTTAGAATATTTATGTGGCTAAAACTGCACCATCATTTTTTAGAACAAATCCAAACAGGTTAAATGTATTATTTGGACAAGCCATGCAGCTAGGTAGGGGCAGAAGGCCCATTAAAAAAGTTAACTGTTGAGTAGTTTTTGTGAAAATGACAAAAAGAAAATAAGATGACAAATTGTACCTCATTCTGGCTAATATGAGGTATGTTTGAGCCAAACACCCCACCAGGGGGGGTTCAGAATGAGATATAGTATGGGAAGAGAGATGGTTAAAGGGGACTCCAATTGTAATATAACTAAATGCCCAGCAGTATTTTTTTAATCCTCATCCAAGGATATGTTTTATTAATTTTTAGATCGAGAGGGAGAAACATCGATGTAGGAGAGAAATATGGATCGGTTGCCTCCCTTATTACCCCAACCAGTGTTTTTTTTTTGTTTTTTTGTGGGTTTTTTTTTATTTTAAAAATATATTTTATTGATTTTTTACAGAGAGGAAGGAAGAGAGATAGAGAGTTAGAAACGTCGATGAGAGAGAAACATCGATCAGCTGCCTCCTGCACATCTCCCACTGGGGATGTGCCCGCAACCCAGGTACATGCCCTTGACCGGAATCGAACCTGGGACCCCTCAGTCTGCAGGCCGATGCTCTATCCACCGAGCCAAATCGGTTTCGGCACCCCAACCAGTGTTGAACTTGCAACCTTTTTGGTGATAACGGAACAATGCTCTAACCAACTGAGCCACCCAGCCAGGGTGCCCAGTTTTTTTTTTAGTTTGATTTCATTTTTCTTGAAATCAGCTTACCTAAATGTTGCTTTTTATTATAGCCGGACACAAAATGAAGGCCACCCCAAATGGTTTGTTCTTGGTGTTGGGCAAGTCATAAAAGGCCTAGACATTGCTATGATGGATATGTGCCCTGGAGAGAAGCGAAAAGTGATAATACCCCCTTCATTTGCATATGGAAAAGAAGGCTATGGTAAGATGTTTTAATATTTATTCCTCAGTCTCAAAGAAATATTTCTACACCCATGTTCATAGCAGCACTATTCACAAAAACAAAAAAATAGAAATAACTCGTGCTCTTTAACAGATGAATGGAGAAACAAAATGGGTATTTACATACAATGGAATATTATACATCCTTAAAAAGGAAAGGGAATTCTGAAACATGCTATAACGTGGATGAACCTTGAGTACATTATGCTAAGTGAAATAAGCTAATCATCGAAAAACTAATGCTATATGATTCCACTTTATTTTGC